TGAACTGAACCCAGAAGGATATTTCTTCCAACAAGTACAAGAAGAAAAAAAAAACAGATTGTGTACCAAGTATGAATGGCGATAGTGCCACTCCATCCAAAACCATAGATGCAAACTGCAACTCCTGGATCTGGGGCTCCCCAAACATAGTAACTACTCAATTTTTGGCAGGGTTGAGCCACAACCTTTTCTTCACCATCCAGACTCTCATAGCCTTCAGACATTGCAAAAAAAACCTTGACAGGCCACGGCCAGAGATATATAGCTGGATATTATCTGGCATATTGATAATACCTGATCCCAAACTGACAGATGACCTCCCACAATGGCTTCATGTAGATATTAAAATTGGGTGGGGGATGGGCAGAGCATTGAAGTACCCCACAGAGTAGGGCTTGACTGGGACAGGCCTTTCAGGAAGTGGAAAACCACCTCTGCAGAACTATATTATGGCTGAAATGAAAAGAAAATGTATTTTTAGGACATCAAAGTGACATAGACTGGGTCCAATTCCCATAATCTCCCCCACCTAATGAACCTACTCTCTTTCCAGGACAAAGCCTCTTAATTTTTTTCCTTGTCAAGATAAAAAATAAATACTCCGTATCTTAACAAAGGCAGAATTAATTAACTCAAGGCCATGAGATCCAACTCCATCTAATTGTCTGAGGCAAACCCATTAAGGGAAAAGACAAGTGCATAACTTGAAAAATCAATAATATAATTTGGAAAAACCACAAAGGTTGTCTGTGAATTGGAGATACTTGTCAAATCCCATCATTTCTAATATGCTTTAACAAGAATACAATAGATATTTCCAATGCTGCTGCCACTTCTAAAAAGTTTTTCTACTTAATTATAAAGGAGCTCTCCTTACATTGCCAAAACCTGTGTTTTCCTTCTAGGTTCCCAAAATCCTGAGAGGAATTAAGAGCCCTAGAATTTTCACTAGATAGAGCAAAATAACTACAAAAGATTTCACTTTTCCATTTGTGTTTTATTCCCCTTCTATTGTAAGTTGCATCAGTATTGTAAAACTGATCCTCCTGAGAGTTGTGCACTTTTTTTGCCATCTATGGAAGATGTGCAATTTATAAGTTTCTGGAGAAAAATAAATAAATAAATAAATAAAAAGCTGACTAAATGAGCATGGTCACAAAAAAAGCAATATGTAAAAACTGGATTACATTATAATCTATAAATAATTCAGTTAATATAATTGAATAACAAATTAATATAATATGATGGAATACATCAATTTTCATAATTCTTGATGCCTTGCTGAGACAGATTTTAACTGAATTTCATAAACCTAACAATTCTTCCTGTCTTTTGAATTGGGGTTATTACCACACTGGGAATGGATGCTGTCAATTAAGGCAGTTAGTGCTATAGTAGACTCTTAGCTTACACTCTTATACAGTTATGTATATAAAAACATAGGAAATATCTTTGTATTTTCATATATTCTCACTAATCCTAGTAGCCTTGCCACTTAACAACTATGGCAAGAAAAGTTGTACAATGTGTGAGAAAAATGCTCAGATTTACCTCTCTAATTCATTATATCATAAGAAGGAAGAGAAAATGTAGTCAGGTTGTCAAGATTTTGCTACTATTGCTTAATACGTCAGATTTGTGGAAACTGTCTTCTGACCTAGTGAACAGAAATATGTACAATCCCAGAAATAATTAAAGCAAGCAAACTTAAATATGTAAGAACAGGAAGTAAACTTTTAGAATTTAATTATTTAATTTAGGCACTGCCCATCTCTGAAATGACTCTGAGCAGCGCACAATATAATAAAAAATGGAGAGAAAAAAGATAATGAAGAAAAATAAAAAGGAAAATAATAAATCCAATCAGCAATTTAAAACATAGGCCAACATAATTTGCCTACAAAGACTACAATTCAAGATCTGGGAGATCAGTTAGGTTTTTAAGCCTTCCAGAATGCAATCAGATGGGATTATGAGGGAGAATCTTATTCCACAGGGCAGGTGTTACAACTGAAGAGGCACATTTCATCAATTCCAAAACATCATAGCATTTAACTGGAGGGATCCCGAGCAGTCCAAATTCTGGCTGAACAGAAACTCTAAGAGATAACTGATCACTCAGACAGCGAGGCCCTATGCCACGGATGGCTTTGTAGTTTATAATTAGCATTCTGAATCACACCTGCAAGCAAACTGGGAGCCAGTGCACCTTACAGAGCAGAAATGTCAGCTGGACATAACAAGTCATGCCCACTACTGCCCATACCCCTGCTTACTGAATCAGTGGAAGCATCTGAGTGGTTTTCAAGGGCAACCACTTACAGACACATTGCAAGAGCCGAGTTATTCTACTTAAAGCACATAAACTGATTTGGTATATTACAAATATTATTAAACAGACTGAAATTACTAGAACTTCTATGAGAAACAGGTCCTAAATGTTTGAATTTAATTCAGCGAAAATGAAATTATATCAATAAACAAAACAAATTATGAAAAAGAGTGGCACCGGGAATAGATGAGGATAAATTACAATTACAAAACATACATAGGAAGGAAGAGTAAATACTAAAACTGGGAAAGTTGTGATTGGATTGTACTGTATGGTGGAACAAGATGAAGATTTAAAAGGCAATATATAAAACTGGTGAGCAACAGTGGTGAGATTCAAATTTTTTTTACTACCGGTTCTGTGGGGGTGGCTTGGTGGGGATGACAGGGGAAGGATACTGTAAAATCTCTAGTCAGAGGTGGTATTTGCTGGTTCTCTGAACTTCTCAAAATTTCCACTACTGGTTCTCCAGAATTGGTCAGAACCTGCTGAATACCACCTCTGATAAGCAAGGATGGTTTGCAAACACAGTGGGTAGTGTTAGTGTAGTTTTAGCTTTGGCTTTGTTTCCTTTCTCCTCTCTCATGCCTTTAATTTCTTGAACCTACTATTTCATATTGCTTTTCTGTGGTCTACATTATGCTTCTTACAGAATGGAATAGTTTGAGGATATGTACAGTATGTATGTATGTTAAAACCAGTACCTCCTCTTTGAAATGTTTATAATTTATATCAAGGATTCATGCCTGCCTTTGGAATAATACGTTTCTCATTGTCTAACTATGCAACACAATCTTTTTAAGTGTGTAAGGTTACTCAGCTATGTAGAGCAATAATCCTTTTCCAAGTTTGTGTTTGCTTTGTTTTCAGGCATTTTTGGCTCGGAGTCATCTCAATTAAGATCTTGTTCTCTTGAATCTGTTCCCAGTGTTTTTATAGTTTCCTACACAAATGCCCTCTATTGATCATTCTGTGTTCCCTTTCCAACCACATGAATTGTATGATGTAGAAGCAGCATCTTGTATGTCATAATCAAAAAGCTCTTTGTAATAATCTAAATTTATTCCAAAAGACAGACAGAATAACAGAGAATTATACTTGATTTAATTTAAAAACTTTAGATAAGTAGTAGCACTTGGTAACTAAGTAAATATGATTTCTGCAAATCCTGACAGCATCTAAAAGCCAATTTGGTCTAGTAGTTAAGGCACTAGGTTAGGAACTAGGAGACAGTGAGTTCTAATCCCACCTTAGGTATGAAAGCTGGCTTGTTAGCTTTGGGGCAGTCATTCTCTTCCAATTCACGTCAGAATTGTTGTTCTTCTTTTGTGGAAACTAGGAGAAAGGAGTATTGTATGCATTCACCATCTTGAAGTACTTATACAAATAATAAAGGGAGTTTATAAATAAATAAATCTGAGCTCAGATAGTAACTAATCACTACATGAATAAAAATGTATCAAGTTTCTTCTTACCCTAGCTTTCATTTTCAGTAGCTTTAAGCCAACTGTTAAATATTGGCCTCAGATCTCTTCATCTGCAATGTTTTTCTTTGAACGGTTGTTTGAAGGATTATTAAACAAAATGCATAGGAAGGGTTGTGAATACTAAATTGCTGCATAAACAGTTACAAATAGTTGGCAAGATTTTCCATTTGACATCTGAATGCAGTTTGGTTTAAGGAGTTATGCAAGGCAATGTTTGTTTGTTTAATGGTTGCCCATCTCATAACAATGTTCATAGTTGTTTCAATCTTAATGACTGCTGAAGTATAAATAGAACAAAGTTTGCTTATCTTTATGTTGGTGTTTCTTATTGCATCGCTGCTTCTATTCAAGCATCTATATTGTTCAGATAAGCTGAAACCTACTACTGCACAGGTAAAATTTCTATTATGAACTGCATGGACAAGTCCCACCCACCCCTTGGATCAAGGTTATGGTCACACTGCCTTCAGGTTGTTAAGATTTCTGTAGACAGCACTCCTCCTTTGATATTAGATATGGGGTTACCTAAATACTGTGCTGCTTAGGATTGGGTGCATCAGATTTCATTCGGTGGACAGATTCCAGTTTATTCTAAAAGTATCTGATTACTTGGGTTTCAGCCACTGAATCAATTCTACCCCATCCTCCTCCTATGTATTGATTTCGGTATTGGGTCCTGTGGCCAGACCATTCAAAGAATTTGACAACCAATTCTGGAATGAAAAGTGGAGAGCTCAACTCCATTCCTCCATCCCTGAGCTATTTTTGGTAAGGGAAGCATATTCTAAACATCACCTGATGCTGCCTATTATTTGCGTGGTGAATTTATTCTGAAATTGTTTTTGACATTCTAACAAAATGAAATTCAATGTAGAGAAAAGTAAAGTCCTACACTTAGGCAAGAAAAACCAAAAGTACGCATATAGACTGGGTGAAACCAGGCTGAATAGCAGTAACTGTGAAAGGGATCTTGGAGTCTCAGTGGACAACCAGCTAAATGTGAGCCAGCAGTGTGAGGCAGCAGCCAAAAAAGCCAATGCAATCCTAAATTGCATTAACAAAGGATACAATCAAGGGAGGTACTCATATCACTCTATAAAGCCTTAGCTAGACCACAGCTAGAGTACTGCATCCAGTTTTGGTCATCACACTATAAAAAAGATGTTGAATACAGAGAAGAGCAACAAAGATGGTCAGGGGATTGGAAGCTAAAACATATGAAGAACGGTTACAGGAACTGGGCATGGCTAGTCTAGTGAAGAGGACCAGGGGAGATATGATAGCAATGTTCCAATATTTGAGGGGCTGCTACAAAGAGGAGGGGGGTAAAGCTATTTTCCAGAGCACCTAAGGCCAGACAAGGAATAATGGATGGAAACTGATCAAGGAGTTTCAACCTGGAAATAAGGAGGCATTTTCTGACAGAACAATCAACCAATGGAGCAGTTTGCCTTCAGAAATTATGGGAGCTTCATTACTGGAAGCTTTCAAGAGACTGTATTGCCATCTGTCAGAAATGATGTAGGGTCGGAACTTTCGGTTTGCAGGGCTTCGGCGGCAGCAGGAATTCGGGTTTCTGCTTGTGCTCGCCACTGGAGTGCCCCGAGCCAGCCGGCTTCGGGGCTAAGCCACCCCGTAAAGATGGTCGAAGATAGGGGAGACCCGGCAGGATTTGAGGGGAGCCGCACCTCCCCTCCTCAGCTGGCTTAACTCCCTTTTCCAAAGGCGGTAGAACAGTGGTCAGAAATGGCCGCCACAAAGAAGCACTCATCCAGAAAAGAATGTGCAGGAGGAAGCTAAGAAGTGAAAGTTTTGGCTGACCGGGATAAGAAGCAACATTCAAGATACCCTGGAATTTAAATTTTAAAAAAGGATACATTGCTCCCAAAGAAGATCCGGAAGCAGCGAATGAAAGTGAAAAGAGAAAGTTTGTTTTTTCTCACTCTCCTTCCTTACAGTGACAGCAGATGAATGAGAAATCGGAAAAACCCGCTTTGGCATCAGCAGGTAATTAAACTGGAAAATCAAAGCCAAGGGGACAATAAAGATTTCTGATCACTGAAAAAACTTTTTTTCGCTGTAAGTGGGAAGGGAGAGGAAAAGAATAAGAGTAAGATTTGGCTGGAGGAGACTGCTTGGAATTTAAAAGACTCTAAAGTTAAATTGTAACAAGACTTCTAAAAGATACATTTTAATTGGAACTTTGTAACTGAATTGTAACCCCAGGAAGAGAAAGTGAAAAAAGAAAGTGTTAATTGAAACAGCTTGTGTGTATTTGGACTGCTTGGTGACTTTGGGACTTTTGGAAATTATATTTCAATGATTAAAAACACTTGGGTGGTTGTTTAAATTTTTTTTTACACTGGCATCACTTGTGGATGAACTGAAAATGGAATTTAAAAAATATAAAGAAGAGGAACAAGAAGGGAAGGGCTCTTTTGGCTCCGTTTTTCATTTTTTAGAAATGGCGATTTCTACTTATGAGAAACTACAAGAAGGTTGGGACAAAGAAGAACCCATCTTTAATGAACAAATAACTTTATCTGGGGAAGAAAGGGGAAAGGGGGGAAAGAGAATAGAGAATTTAAGACCTAAAAAACAACCAAAAAAGGGAAAAATAAGGTGAAAAGTGGATATAATGTTAGAAAGCAACAGAAAAGAGGAATACAGAAGAGGGAAATGGAGATGGAGAGACAAGGGGGTAAAAAGGGCAGAGTGAAGAAGCAAGGGAGGAAGGGAAGAGAAGCTACAAAGGTTTGAAACAAGATGTAAAGAAACAGGATTTATTTAGAGATAATGGGTAAAAATATAACTGAAAAAGAGATTCTGCAAAGGTACATAAGACTGTATTGTTGTATTTGTATTAGAAATAATGTTAGAAAATTGGAATAATATATGATTATAAAATGGGATAAAATATTCAATGTAATTCAGTGAAACTTTTTTTCTTGAACAAAATAAATGAAATGAAATATGAGAGAATTGAATTAAGAAGGAATGGGAACATTTTAATTACATAATGTTTTAAAATATAAGTGAAATGGGGGGGGGGGGAAGTAACTATGCAAAATTTATAACTGTTCCCATAGAAGCATACCTATTTGAAAAGGAATGTGTAAAATGTTTAAGATTTAAATGAATATTAATTTTAACGATAGAGTTCAATTGGTATGGATTGTTGTTTTAATTATATTATATATTTATAATTTTTTCTTTTCTTAAAATAGCTTTAGAATGTACTAAGCAGAATCCGAATGAAAGTTATGTATTATATTAAGTGTTAAATTTAGGGGAAAGATATAAAGGCGTCATACTCCAATCAGTGATAACAGGAGAAATTTTGTGTTAATGAGAAAAGATAATAGACAGTTGAAACAGGACAGACAAAGGATATAAGTATAATGATTTAAATTAAGATGAAATAAATAAAATAAAATTAAGAGAGTGAAAAGAGGGGAGAAGCTATATAAAAAATGTAGAATGGTAATAAGATATGGAATGGTATATAAAAGTGAGCATGAACTTGAATTTATGTCTGTACGAAGAGATGTAACCCGGGATCAAGCTGCTTTCAAAAAAGATGTTTTATGTTTTTCATGTTTTGTGTTTTGTTTGTATGTTTGTTTTCTTAAAAATTAATAAATTTTTTGGAGAAAAAAAAAGAAATGGTATAGGGTCTTCTGCTTGGGCAGGGGATAGGACTAGATGACCTACAAGGTCCCTTTCAACTATTAATGTAATGGATTCTTCTGTCCTATCTAATCTAATGGATGTAAAGATTGCTAATTTACACTTTAGGTAATACATTAAATCGCAATCATGAACAGTGATAATAGAATAGATAGAATTCTTTATTGGCTAAGTGTGATTGGACACACAAGAAATTTGTCTTAGTACATATGCTCTCAGTGTACATAAAAGAGACATTCATCAAGAGTCAAAAGATACAACAGTCCTTTTGAGTCTAATAATAGTCATAGGGTACAATAAGCAATCAAATCGTACTAGGAAAGTCAATAAAAATCATTAGGATACAAGCGACAAGGTTAGTCACACAGTCATAAGTAGGAGGAGATAGGTGAAAGGAAGGATGGGCAGATTAATAGCAATAGTAATGCAGACTTAGTAGTTTGACAGTGTTGAGGGAATTATTTGTTTAGCAGAGTGATGGTGTTCGGGGAAAAACTGTTCTTGTGTCTAGTTGTTCTGGTGTGCAATGCTCTATAGTTTTGAGGGTAGGAAGTCCAGGATGTGAGGGGTCTGTAAATATTTTCACAGCCCTTTTTGACCTGTGCAGTATACAGGTCCTCAATGGAAGGCAGGTTGGTAGTAATTTTTTTTTTCTGCAGTCCTAATTACTCTCTGAAGCCTGTGTCTGCCTTTTTGGGTTGCAGAACCAAACCAGACGGTTATGGAGGTGCAGATGAGACTCAATAATTCCTCTGTGGAATTGTACCAGCAGCTCCATGGGCAGAGTTTTTTGAGTTGGCACAGAAAGAACATTCTTTGTTGTGCTTTTTTGATGACGTTTTTGATATTAGGTGTCCATTTTAGGGCTTGTGATATAATAGAACCTAGAAATTTCAAGTTCTGTACTGTTGATACTGTGTTGCCTAGTATTGTAAGAGGTGATAGTATGGGAGGGTTTCTTCTAAAGTCCACCACCATTTCTACGGTTTTGAATGTTCAGTTTGATTGTTCCAGTCACACCATAGGGCAAGTTGTACAACCTTCCGTCTGTTTGTGGATTCGTCGTTGTCTCGAATGAGACCAATCACTGTTGTGTCATCAGCAAACTTCAGTATTTTAACGGATCGCTTGAGATGCAATCATTGGTATATAGGGAGATATATGCAGGTATATGGTATATAGGAATTATAGAGGGTATACTATAACTATCAGTTCTCTGCCCTAATGACCTTTTTAAATATAAAAAAAGATATATCCAAAGGTAGTTTATAGTTTCATGCATTTAATACTTAAGAATAAAAGAGGTACACAAAACTATACTGTTATAAGTTTTAAAATATTAAGGAAAAATATTACATAACTGACAAACAATAAAACTTATGTGAAATATTGTCATATTACTTCTTGATTGGCGTCCTCACTTGCAATCCAAGCAGCATCTGTGTGATTTATCCTTAACCATTTTTTCACTGTAGGAGTAGGATCCCATTCCCCTAGAGGTAGGCCGATTTGACTAATAGTTATCGTGTTTGATACATTAGAAACAGTTAGACAATTTGTCATTTCTGAACATATTATGTTCATCCTGGAAAAAACATTTTCTGCTTCTGCTGAACTTACAGCAATTGTTCTGACAATATTTTTAGCTTTTTGAACACTTCCAGGAATTGCATAGTTCTGGGAATTTTTTAAAATGTTTCTCACAAAATCTCGATAATCATTAATATCAATTTGGTAATGAAAAATATCATTAAATACCAGCAATTGTTCTTCAGCTGCTTTCCATGGAACTAGTACTTCTTTAACATTCCAGTAATCTGGCTCCAAAAAATTGAGAAATTGTAATTTACTCCTATCATGAAATTGGCTACAACTTCCTTTTAAATGTTCACAATCCATTAGTCTTTTTTGCAAATTTGTTACAATGTTTTCTAAAAGTCTTTCCCGAGGAAGCCCGACAAATTGATGATTTTCTACAAATTTTATATTTTTGAAGGTTTCTGAAGTAATTAATTCATCAACTTTTTTTTCGTATATACCCTTTTTCTTTATAAGCATTTGAAATGCTGTAATAGATCTTATCACAAGTTTTTCAGCCCTTATTATGTCTATCTTACTTGCTTTCAGTGCATTCGAAAGAAGAGAAATCTCATTTAAAATGTCAATCATCAATGCCAAATCTGTTATAAAATATATATTTTCAAGACGGGCAGCCATACCCAAGTACTTTTCATTTGAACAAAAATAATGATGTAGTGCTGGATAAGCATGCCACACAGCTAGTGTTAACCTTAAACTACAGGCGGCCCATCTTGTTCCCAAAACCGTACCAATGTTTATCATTTCAATTTCAAGTTGGTCAGATATTTCGCTAAGTTCAATTTGGTTCTTATAGGAGCAATGAAAAATAGTATATATCTTATCAATAAATATTTTAAAGTGATTTACTTCCTTTATTTCCTTTATTGAATCATCTAAAACAAGAGGGAGGCGATGGTTTAAACAGTGCCATATTATGATGTTTGGAAACTCTTTTGCTATCCTAGTGCTCACTCCAGATTTTCTCCCAAGCATAACGCTGGCACCATCGGAACAAAATCCTATTAAGTTTTTTTCTAGGTAGTTCTTAGTAAGTCCAACATTATTTAAACTTTCCATAACTGAAGAACATATTGTCTCTGCATCTTGTTTTTCCAATTCAACTAGCTCAAGGAAAATTGTTGGTGAGAAAACTGAATCCTCAACTTTTATGAAAAGTATCACAACTGGCTTGCAAGCGATCATTGGAGCTTCGTCAATGATCAAACATATTTTCAGATTCTTTTCAATAATTTTAGTAAACAATTTGGTTTTCATTTCTTTTGCAATGAAATCAACTATTTTCACTGCAGTTTCACGTGAATGCAATCCTATTCCCAGATCTAGTCCATTTTTAATGTGCAATTCTATGTTACTTTCTACGTCAGAAAGTGGTCTGCATCTTTGTGCCACACTGTAAACTATATTGAATACTCTACAAGTAATACGTAAGTGGTTTTCATTCATCTTGCTGCTTTCTTCAAGTTGGAGTGGTTGTGCTTGTGACTGTTTTGTAGCATCCATGGCCAATTCTGATATAACTGGTTTCTTGTTGAAAAAAATCTGTCAGACTCTGTTGCCTTTTCGTCCGTTTAAGGGCTACTGCAGAAAAAAAATAAAAAATGTTTTAATATATTATAAAAATATTTACAGACATTAATACCCTTTATTGAAGATCAGAATATATTGTGTATGCATCAATAACCAAGTGTGGGAAGCCACCTCCCCCCAGCAGAATGAAATACTTTAAGGAATATTTTAAAAAGGGGCAGAATATTATATTTCCCAAAGGGAGAAATGGAGAAACATGTTTTTTTTAGAGGCAGAAAGCAACCCCCCACTTTCTTAATAGTCCCAGCAGATATTTTGTGCCCATTAACAAAGATTGGGACAGCCTATTCAGAAACCAAACTGAGGTTACCTTTTAGAAATGCAGATTTGGTAATCTATTCAAGACAGGGTATTTTGAAACAAAGTCAGAATGGTAGGATTAGCAGCCCTCTCTTAAGATCCAACACAGGGAAAAGCCATTAAGCCACAATAGGAATGGCCCAACAGTCTTTCAGAACACAAGCCCTTTCATTGCATCACTCTCAGAAACTTCAACCAAACTTAGACAAATGCCTAGGATTTGTTCTTTGCCTATAGAGCCAGTTATGACCCCTACATGGCCCCATGGGAATAGAATACATAGAATACAGAACAGGAAGTTCAAGTGCAAAGCCCAAGAGAAATAAACCACCCCCACCCTTAACTCCACTTGATCAATTGCCCAGAACCCATGTGGTTCTGCTTCATCATTAAACCATTTTCCCAATCTAGTTTATCTCCAGTGCCTTTCTCCCTGCTTGGAACTGAACCAATGGATATTTCTTCCCACACAAGCAAGAGGCCGCATAATAAAGAATGCAAAGTTTTATAACGTATTACTGCAACCACCAGATTATTATTATAGAATAAGGAATATAGGCAATAATTAGAATCGAACGAAAAAGGAAAATATATAAAAGATAAGCCAAATAGCTGGGACAAGGCAAAAATATCACAAAAATAAGCTGGTACTGCTCAAGTAGTAAAAATATTATGGTTCAAACAATATGTATAAACTACATCTGTATCAGTATGCGGATCCTTCTCATTCTGCATCAAGTAAACTGTAAAGAAAATTAAGCAGTCTGGCAAGAGAAAATCCAGGAGAGGGGGCTCATGTACGAGGAAGGATTTTCGCTGCCAGACTGCTTAATTTTCTTTACACTTTACTTGATGCAGAATGCGGATCCTTCCCATTCAGGAAAAGGGCGGGGAGGGGGAAACACCCGCTTTCTGAGACGCCAGACCAGCGTGCATTCACGGGCCTCCAACCTCCTTGCTTGGAGACACGGGAATGCACGCCAGTCTGGTTATATCAGCCGGTATACCGTATACATTGAAACTAACCCTTTGGCTTCTTTCGGATCGCGCCCTTATAAGCTCTCCTGGGCCTTCAAGCTGCAGTGCTTGGAGACTGCCTCTTTCTTCCAGCTACGCAGTAGCTCAGCGGGCGGGCGGCCGCCAAAACAAGCGACGCGTCCAAGCTAGCCATCAGGGCTGGGCGGGGGACAGTAGCACGCGGGGCTAAATGCAGAGCCCTTCGCGGACTTGGGGACGCCAATCGTCTTTCAAGCTTTCAATCACGCGCCTCCGAGGTGGGCCGACTTTAACTTTGCGGCGTAGCCTGATAGGGGGGAAGGAGGGAGGGGGGAGGGCAGAAGACGAGCCAATGAGAGAAGTTGTCTCATGAAGCCAATAATAAGGTTTGTCTTGGTTTCGCAAGCCAGACAGACAGCTTTTATCGAGATTGTTTTGGCCGCCGCCGGTGTAGCGGCGTGAAAGTAGCGGTGGGCTTCCCTTCCTCCCCCCCCGCCACCCCTCCTCCTGCTGCCTGTGAGGTAGGTAGCGGTTGGGCCGGGGGACTTGGCACGTGGAGACTGCGCGGACCTAGTGGTGGGGCCGGGAGAATAGAGGAGCTGGCGGGTGGCTCTGGAGGAAATGGCGCGCCGAGGGTGCGAGAAGTCCGGAATGACGGGGGCGCCGAGAGAGGCTGAAATGACTTTAGAAAAGGGGGGGTTTGAACTAAACGCCTGAGGAACCGACGAGGGAGAAGGTCTGTCAAGTTTCCGCCAGCTGTCATTTGCTGATACGGAGCCTCAGTCTATGTATGTGGTAGGGTGGGCATGTTCCTCCATCTACTAACTCGTAAAAATGGGGCTGCGAGGGAGTTCGAAACCGTGAAATTGCTGAAGGCGGGGTGTGTTTTCTCTAACGAAAATATTGCACTACCACAAAGCAAGGGATGGCGAAGAAACCAGCCGTCCTTTAAATGTGTAAATGTTTGACAGTTTTAAAAATTTATTTTTAATTCTGGAAAAATATAATTTTACAATGAAGTGATGATATTGCCACTCAGTCAGTGTTTACTTTTAACAACCACATAAACTTCCAAGATGATGGCTATTAATTTGAATAACTTCTTCCTATATTTTACTTTTAGCTTTAATGTTGACGTTTCAAAAAGTAAAGAAATCAAGGTTAGATTTGTGATAGATATCTGTCAATGACTATAGATTAAGTAGCCTTAAAAAAAATCCCTATTTGCAGATATATATCTGCCTACTGTTGGAATTGTTTTCTCAGATGAGTCTTTGGATTGATTCAGCCAAGCAGTTCTTATGAGCAAGAGAAAAAAAAGTTATGGAAAACAAAGTTTTTCTAAAGATTTGAGATCATAAAATATACAGAAGTACATTTATTATTCAAATGACAGTGTAACAACATTATAAATTATTTTAGAGAGGCATGCTGTACAAGTATTTAGCACTCTACAAACAGTACTATCTCTGTATTGCAGACAAAATAGCTCATTGAAAAACAAAATTTTAATGAGGGACACCTGGATTTGCCGCCTTAGTCTGCCTCAGATTAGGAATGCCATGATAGGGGTGATAAAATAAAACATGCTCAAACTTTAAAAAGAAGTTTTATATAGTTAAATATATTCACAAAGTGATTTACATAAAATAAAATAAAGAAGAGGCTTATTCCTTATTTATGCTAACTCATTAGCTAACATTTCTGTTCTTCCTTACTGTATGCTTAGCCAGCAGTCTTTTCTGGAGGATAGCAAAATTCAGGGCCATCTGCAGTCTCATACAAGCGTCCAGTGGAATGGCTTGTATTAAGTGTCAGTAATGAGGTAGGTTTATCAGTCTGAGCCAGAGCAGACCCTGCACAAAACAGTGGGTAGAGTGCTTACATTTTTAAGGAATATAAATACAGACCGTAATTGTTAATTCGGCATCGATAACACTTATATAGCTTGGATCAAGAAGGATAGAAAGTGTTATCTTAAATCAGTACTTAATCCCAAATCAGGAAAGCCAGAAAAATCTTAATAGCTGGATACCGAAGGATTGGTGAGATTTGTGTTTATACCAGTGTTGCGATCTCCTTAAGCTTAACTTGATGGAATCTAGCAGTTAATTATCTTAGTTTGCTGGGTAGGTGCAACAGTTCCTCTTGTTAGAGAAGATGCTATGTCATCAAGTATGCAATCAGTATGTAGATGATATCCAATTATACATCTTCACTTGGCCCATGCTGTAGAGGTCATGTCTTGGTGTCTGGAGAATGGGATGATCTGAATGGGAAACAATAGGCTTTGGCTCAACCCTAATAACACTGATTGGCTTTGGGTTTTAGAGCCTCCTGATTCTGGGAACCTTCCATCACTTGTTCTGGATGAGATTACACTGTAGCCTCAGACAGATCTTCTACAAAGTTGGGGGTGGGGTGTCCTCCTATACTCACAGTTCCAGTTCAATGAGCATGTAGCAGCAGTGGCAGGAGGAATTTTGCAAAGCTTTATGTTATGTACAGTTGTGTCCTTTCCTTGACTGCAAGGCCCTGCTCACAGTCACTCATGCCTTAAGTCACCTTCTGATTGGATTATTTTAACATGTTCTGCAGGAGGCTGCCTAAAAGAGCAGTCAGAAGCTTCAGCTGGTGCAAAATGCAGCCGCATAAGCAGTTATAGACGTTGGTTGTCCAGCACGTATGGCAACTCTACTCAGTGAGCTGCACTGGGTACCAATATGCTTTAGGGTGCAATTCAAGTCTTTTGTAGTTATCTTGAAAGCCCTTCATGGCTTGGGGCCAGTTTATTTATAAGGGTAACCTAGTGGTGGTTACCCTTCTTGCTACTTCCAGTAGGAGAGGAATGCTCTGGGTCACATTCACAGGAGAGAGTCACCTGTTGGGACACAGGAGGAGAATCTTTTCTTCCATGGTACCTGTCCTTCATCCCCCCTGAAATCAGACATACCCAGATACTGCTGGCCTTTCTCTAGGCCACGGGTATCAAACTCACTGCATCACGTTGCCGTCACATGACGTATCACAACGTTTTTTTGCGGAGCTGGGATGGGCCTGGCCTGTGTGTGACGCATCCGGCCTGTTGGCTGCCAGTTTGACACCCCTGCTTTAGGTGCTAAAAACCTGATTTTGCTATCGAGCTTGGGATTCAATAATATGAATGAGCTCATTTCATGCTTAGTTTAAGTATTTGTGAGTATCCTGGACTCAAATTACAAAATTAAATTTTTAATTTTGGTTGTTTCTATTGTTTTATAACCAATCTGGGGTTTGTTTGTTCTTTTTTTTTTTTAATAAAGTTTTATTGAGTTTTAATAAAACAAATAAAACATCTTATTTGAGTACAGCATCGTTCCGGGTTATCACATTTCCATACAGACACAATTTCATATGCATATTCATCTTATGTATTCAACTTCATATCTTATTACTCTTTTTCCAAAAATTCTAAAAACATAGCAAAAACTATATATATATATACTGTATAAACATTAGTAAGCAAAATAGTTATTCAAATTCATTCTAGTACTGGTATGAACTTTGTAAATCTTTCACGTTTCTTTTTAATATTTATCAATCTTTGAGAACAATTGAAATGTTTCCCTCCCTTCTTCATTATTACGTTAATTATTAATAAACACACCATTGGATAGTCATACAGTTTTATCTTATAAATTATTTACTATTGATAAGCAAAATAATTATTCAAATTCATTCTAGTAACTGGTATAAATTTCCTTATATATCTTTCACATTTCTTTTCAATATTTTATCAATCTTTAGAAACAATTATGATGTTTCCCTCACTTCTTTATTATTGCAATAAACATACCATTACATAACAATACAGTTTTATCTCATAGATTATTTACTTATTTCATTTCTAACTCATTACAGTATTCTACTGTCACAACACTATCTTTTGTACTTTTGCAAAATCCTCACTTTTAACTTAATTTAGCCATTGTCTCTTGTGTTTTCTAGCTGAGCAAATACCTTTAATCCTAGTACGTTTCCCCTTTTTCTTTATTTCCTGCTTTTGTCCCTCACAAGTTCTTTCCCTTTCTATCTCCCCCCCCTTTTCTCATCCCTTTTTTATACCCTTCTGTCTCTAATTTTCCCTTCTGTAGTTTTCTTTTCTGCTTCTCCTTGCTGTTATACTTCTTTTTCAGACTATTTTTCTTTTTGGCTGTTGCCTTTGATCTCAAACTTTTAACTCCTTTCCCCCTTTTCCCCCTTTTTACCACATTTTGCATTATTTGATCATTAAAAATGGCTTCTTCTTTGTTCCGCTCTTCTTCTTGCTCTTGAAGCTTTTCCTTTTGCTTTTCATAGTTCAGGATCTCTTTTGAACAACCACCCAATTGACTTTAAGTAAAACAGAAAAAGAAAGAAAAAACCAATGCCAAAAACTTTTTTTTAAATCACCAAATGATCCCAGACTGTTCCTTCTTGTTTCTTTCCTTTACTTTTCCTTTCCGTGGGTTACTGTATCTTTTAATAAGATTTCAGTTACAATGTATCCTTGGGAGTCTTTTCAAAGTTTCACTGTTAATCCTCCTGATTTTTCCAGGTGGCACTCCATTTTTCCATTATTCCAAGTCCCACCCTTTTGCCTCCACTCTTCTCCTTTTTAGGGCTTTAAAATGACCAAGAAAAAATATTTATTCTCCTTTTGACACTTAGATTTCAGCTTAAGGTTCCCTATTAGTGTCAAAATAGATTCATATAAATTTCTTTCCATACCATTTGTAATTGTCAATATAAAGGCAAAAAAAGGATTTTTAACCTCCTTTTCTCTCTCCTTAGCCACGTAAAGATCTTCTTTCAGAAGTATCCCTATAGGTACTTTTAGATTCAGGGTACCTTGCTTAGATGTTCTCTGTTGTTTAGCCCGGTCTGTCCTGCTTTCCTCTTTGTCTTCTTCCTGCACAATCTTGTCCAGTCGGGTTCTTCTTTGAGGTGGCCATTTCTGACCATTGCTGCAACAGCCTTCGGGGAAGGGAGTTTAGACCAGCCAAGGAGGAGAGATGCGGCTCCCCTCCACTCAGCTAGCAATCTCCACCCTCTTCACCACCTCTATGGGGTGGCTTCAGCCCTGAATCCAAAGGATCGGGGCGCTCCAGCGGCAAGCACAGATCAAAACCGCGCCCGATCGCGGATTTCGGTCTGTCGCTGAAGAGACCCAAACCGGAAGTGGGGGG